GTAGGCTACCCTATAGCTTTTCAACGAATAAAGTCCTATAAAAAGTCCTATATAATATATATATATATATGTATTTATATGTATATATATATGTATGTATATATATGTATATATATATATGTGTATATAACTGATAAATATTTTGCGCACACAGAGTATATTAACCACTTCAATCTTTTTCACAGTTTATGCGTAGGCATGGGTACGGTAGTCAATGGGAAGTAGTAAAAACTATCGCACCTCTGACCAGGAGGATATGACCATTGAAATACTGTTACCTGTATTACCTACTTTAGTATTTATGAGGCTGGTATACTAAAATTTTTTATTGCATTTATAGACATTCATGAGGTAGAGAATGGTAATCTTCTATTGTTTTTGAATTCTATATTTGGCAATTGATACCACACACTTATTCCAGATTTTTCGCTATTGAATTTTGCCAAGGATCGCTGTGTGGTTATAAAGGAAGTCGTACAACCTTTGAATTTATTCATTTATAGCAGAACAATGGGTGTACTTTATTATTTTATTATTATTACATGTTATACCAAACTGTTATGACAATGATGTCATCATGTAGGGGTGTTAGATAGGATATTCATTATAGGAAGTAGTCAAATTAGAAATTACAAAACTAAAAACTATAGTATCGTTAATATTATGCTTTGTTTTTTTTCACCCGTGTCATTATTTGATTCTCTCCGTCTACTAAATGGGTTGCACTGCACTTTGTGTTAACTTGGGAAAATAGCTATTTATCTATGTCGTCCTCAGATGAGTCAGCCAACGTTGTCCCCAGTCATCTCGATTCACCAAATAATTGGCAGGTTTGAGAAAATAGCTCAAACCTACTATGTGCTAAATCTACTATGAAGCATATCAAATATGGAGGGTTTATATCTACTATAACTTTTCTATGGCCCATTGTGCATATAGCAAAACCATATAATGTCATAGAGAAATCCAATATAAAAAAATTTAAATTCAGGTCCAACAATTTACCTCTTGATAGCAAGACCTGCAAATGGTCTAAAGAAATTAGTGGTCAGTGTACCTTGTGCCAAAGTGGCAAAACTGGATATATTTGTCATTTTTTATTTAACTGTAAATCATTTGATACAATCAGAGAGGTAGAATTAGCTATCTTAAAACAAGACCTTGAACTTTGCAATGAGACTGCAACTGGGAATAATTTTTACGAATCTATTATTGATGATAAAATTCATTTTGTTCTTGTGGGGGAAAATGATCTCTTTAATGATGATGTTCAATCTGCATTTGACAGATATTGCAAAACATTTGCTAAAAAAGCTTAGGATAGACGATCAGATCTAAAAACAGGTTAAATGCATTGTTGCTTTAGTAATACATATATTTCTTTTTTTTATGTTTTAAATTTAATTTCTTTTGTATACTTTTATAATGCTTTGTATATATATGTGTGTGTGTGTGTGTGTATGTAGAGCGAACCCACTTGCCTGACGCCCGGGACAAGTGTTTTTTACGGTCGGACAACAAGAATTTTAGGGACCACTTGTCCGTGGACAAGCACTTTTAGAATAGGCTACTTAACCAAGTAATGCGTAATGATTTCACAGTATTTATAAAAAGTCCGACTCTTGACAATACGCAGCATATTTTATTAACAAATTGTCGGCGCACAAAGAGATATCAAACATAAAAAACCGATAGGCCATGGTTACACACCGCACTGCATGAATCAACTTTGAGTCGCTAACACTCCCGCGATTTATAGACGGTTCAAAAGAAAAAATGTAGGCCTAACTTAATATTAAATTTTTTATTTTCTGCAGTAAAGATTGAAAATGAATTCCTAATTGTTAAATGTTAACCAGATCTGTCGTAAGCCTAAGAAAGGGTAGTTAAATTGGGATTTAAAGTTGTTAAAGTAATTTAAAAAACAGTCACTTCTAAGTGATGGCGGTAATGCGCATATAAAATCCAAATCTTGAAAAACTAGAGTTAAAAATTGAGGGTTTATGGCCAACTGAATCATTTTCCCGTCTCAAAAATTTCACCGTCTCGGAGATTCTCAGGAAGGGATTTGTCCCCTCTGCCCATCCTCAGAGTTATATTAGGCCTACAGTGCTTTTCTTTCGTTGAGAGATAAGCAATTTTATTTATTTTGCAATAAATAAAATCAGGATGTGTGATGCGGTAAAATATTCCCAGCGTAAAATATTCGGCCCAGAAATCCGTCGCCCAATTCGAAAATATGAGCTGATTTCCACAGATATTTTTGCAGAAAATTGAGGCCTTCAGTAGTAGGAACACAAGTATTTACGATTCTGCGCATCTATTTTTCTAGGTGTTTTCCAGTGCAATTTGAATTTTGTTTGTATCCTCCACAAAAAGGAATACATTTTGAAGTTAGTATTCATTGATTAAGATACTGCAAACTGGTACAAACATACGATATGGCTACCCCCTCCCCATTCTCCAAATAACGTCATAAAACACAGTCCTGTCAGCCTGTGGCTGAGAACTCATGTATCGTAGGAATCAACCATTCCTGTGAAATTTATACTTGCAGTTGTCGTGACAACGGCTTTCAAACATGCAATAAGAAAACGATCAGCACACTCCTACATACATAGAATAATATTAATAATGTTTATTTTATTTGAATTTCTCCATATCATACATTATTGAAATTCTATCAAATTAAAAAAAGAAATATAATTGGATTTAAAAAAATTAAAGCTTTTTTGTGTGATCAATATCATATGCATGTAGGCCTATTAATGTTGTAGGGCCATAGCAAATATACTTACTTTTGTTTTATTTTTTATGATTATTGCGCAATAATATTGGGACAAGTACAATTGTCTTCTGGACAAGTGCTGTCTCTTATACACATCTAGATGTGTATAAGAGACAGGACCTGAACTTTGTTCTGATCAGATTTGATTTCGTAGAAAACGTCAGTAGCTACTCAGTAGTATTTAAGGCATCTACATTATAAAAGCAAGAGAACTGAGCTTTTTACTCTTGCCAATTTTCTCTTAAATAGTAGTATTTATTACATATAGGCATACACGCACACACACACCCCACCCACCCACACACATATATATATATATAATATGTATATATATACATATTTGGGTAGGGTGTATGTTTACTGTATACACGTAAGTGTATTATGTACATTATTTGCGTGGGGAGGGTGAGGGATGTTTATGATTTATTTAAACTTTAAATTGTATTTTCTTTAGTTAAGTTCTTTCATTTGTTTAGCTTTAAGTTGTTGTTTTCCTCTTTGTCCATTAGTTTAAGTTTGACTGCGCCACTTTCTTGTGTGCTGCAACTGTTGTAAAAGTGTAATGTCAAATAAATATTATTATTATTATTATTATTAAAATGAAGATGAAGCAAATCAAATATAGAGTGCTTTGTCTACTACACTATACATTTTTCTATGACCCATTTGTCAATAACAAAACCATATAATGTCATAGAGAAATATGAAAAGATACTATAACAGGAGATGATGATGTTATAGGAAGTGAATAAATGGAACAGCAATCCTTTGTGTCAATTCTACCGGAGTATGTGTTATTATATGCAGTGGAGGTATAATCTATTACTAGAAATTGCAAATTGCAAGTGAATTGCTCGAAGTACAACTGCATATAAATGTTCTTCGAACAAAATTATTTATGCGAGTCAAGTGAAAATAATGAATAATAAAACTATAACAAATAAAATATGAGTATGATGACTCAGAAAAATGATGTGAGACCATAGTTGATTCTACGTTTCGTTCTTTATTGGAACATTCGAAACATAGAATCAACTATGGTCTCACGTCAGTCATTTTTCGGAGTCACAATTTTCTATTTACGTATAATCAGTGGATCCTTTTTTGGATAACAAATAATATGAGACACGACCCATTGTCTATATTAGAACACTTCTCATTGGGTAACAAAGTCGTAATTTTTCATTTTTGTCAAAAAGTGTCTATAGTGTGGTGAATTATGGTTTAGGTTTTTTTTAATAAAGTTTCAAAAATTTCTATGTATGTGGAAAATGTAGTTGATTACCAAAGGTTACAATTATTATTTTGAAGACTGCATGGTCTAGGAAGTGTACATTTTTTACGGGGCAAGTTTCCAAGGGCGGGTTTTCTAGGGGCGAGTTGACTGCCAAAGAGTGTTGCCAAAGTGTGAGCCAGCGTGTTATTTGATCACAAGTGCGAGGCATATCACAAGTGTGAGCCAGCAAGCCATGACTTCACGACAATAGATAGAGACGTTTGCCAGTTTTGCGAGGTATCGGCTGAGATTTGTGGAGTACAATTAAAAAAAAACTATAGGTCTAATGAATTATTGTGATGTTAAATAGACAATGTTAGCTATCAAAGAGCGACGTTGTTTTTCATTGGGACCTTCGTCCCTTCAAGGATAGGCCTATACCATCCTAGCTAGTCTAGGCCTAGAGTAGGATAAGGCTAGCGCAAC